TTGTAAGACGAGTCAATGGGTGAAACCCTTTCCAAATGCGGCTGCGCCGCTGTCCAGCTTACCGGTTTCCACTGACTGTGGGCTGTTCATGAGTTTGGACTTTGTGTTTGGCCTGCCGATAGATCTGGCGGGCAACACGGGTGTCGTGGCATTTGTCGACCGGTTGTGCAAGATGACTCATTTGGCGGCGGTGCCATACACCATCGACGGGGTTGGTGCAGCAACGCTGTTGGACAGAAGTGCTCGTTTGCCTTAGTAAGGCTTTAGTACTTAGAACTAGCAATTTACGATCTGTTACACTTGCACTGATTCTTGAATAGAACGAAAGATCGACCTTGGCTCAGCTTCTTCTAAGTGAAGAGCTACATCAGCCTCGCTGCACCTTCGTTTTTTCGAGTCGCGGCCTGGTTGTCCACATGCATCAGCATAGGCTGAGCCGGCGCGAGTCTCACCTCTTTAAGCATTTCTTAAATACCGTGGAGGTCGGGAACCGTCTTAGATGCTGCGACAAATTCGGCTTCTATAGTCGAGCTAGAGACACCACCCTGTTTCTTGGCTGTCCAGCTCACATGCATCTCATTTAGTAGAGCGATATCACCAGTGAATGGCTTTCTGTCTCCCTTGGCGGCAACAAAGTTGTCGTCACTGTAAGACTCAAGCGACACTGATCCGTCGCAGACGGCATTACCGCGCATTTCAAGCCGTATGAATTTGCTTCAATTGAGGTAGCACGTAATCCTCTTTGCCAATTTCCGGTCGCGTACACGCGGCGCATGTGTCTGTCGCGCGACTTTGTGACCCGCAAGCACAATGTCTGGCCGCGTGCATCGCAGACTACCGACCAACGACTGAAACGAACGAATACTTGGCGACCCGAAGCCGGCATTTTCCTGTGACCGTAAACTCTCTGGTGTGGCTTCGTCGTAGCAGTCGTCACCGATAGGTAATTTCGACAGACTACGAGAAATGCGCAAGTTCTTCAGCTTGAACGAGGAAGTCGGAGCGTCTGCCGTCGTACTTTGCATTAGTATCGTGCGCAGCTCGCTAACGCATAGTGGACACTGTTGTCGAGTACTTGCGCGTCAGCACCTCCGCACGTATCGCGTAATACCACCAAGTACAGGTAGTGTTTGAGTCAGGTCCTCTTGGTGTCTTTCTTTGCCGTAAGTAGTCTCATTGACCGGGACGCAGCG